GTTGATTCAACAAATAAAATGAACGAAATGACTCTCTTGAGTTCGTGACTCTCCTGTTCGAACTCGTCCATCAAAATGAACGAATCATTTTTCATGTCATTTGGTTGATTCAACGAACGAAATGACTCCCCTGAGTTCATGACTCTCCTGTTCGAACTCGTCCATCAAAATGAACGAATCATTTTTCATGTCATTTGGTTGATTCAACGAACGAAATGACTCTCCTGAGTTCGTGACTCTCCTGTTCGAACTCGTCCATCAAAATGAACGATTAATTTTTCATGTCATTTGGTTGATTCAACGAACGAAATGACTCTCCTGAGTTCGTGACTCTCCTGTTCGAACTCGTCCATCAAAATGAACGAATCATTTTTCATGTCATTTGGTTGATTCAACGAACGAAATGACTCTCCTGAGTTCGTGACTCTCCTGTTCGAACTCGTCCATCAAAATGAACGAATCATTTTTCATGTCATTTGGTTGATTCAATGAATGAAATGACTCTCCTGAGTTCGTGACTCTCCTGTTCGAACTCGTCCATCAAAATGAACGAATCATTTTTCATGTCATTTGGTTGATTCAACGAACGAAATGACTCCCCTGAGTTCGTGACTCTCCTGTTCGAACTCGTCCATCAAAATGAACGAATCATTTTTCATGTCATTTGGTTGATTCAACGAACGAAATGACTCTCCTGAGTTCGTGACTCTCCTGTTCGAACTCGTCCATCAAAATGAACGAATCATTTTTCATGTCATTTGGTTGATTCAACAAACAAAATGACTCTCCTGAGTTCGTGACTCTCCTGTTTGAACTCGTCCATCAAAATGAACGAATAATTTTTCATGTCATTTGGTTGATTCAACGAACGAAATGACTCCCCTGAGTTCGTGACTCTCCTGTTCGAACTCGTCCATCAAAATGAACGAATCATTTTTCATGTCATTTGGTTGATTCAACAAACGAAATGACTCTCCTGAGTTTGTGACTCTCCTGTTCTAACTCATTCTTTAAAATGAACAAATCTTTTTTCGTGTCATTTGGTTCATTCAATAAGCGAAATGAACGAGTTGACTCGGGAAAAGATTCGTCATTTTGATGAACGAGTTTGAACAGGAGAGTCACGAACGTACATCACAGAACAGAGCAAGACGACCATTTGTGCTGATAAAACTTAAACTTTGTTATTTATTTATTAAATGAGCGATCGTTTCGCTTGATATTCCATAACTTTGGAGCCTTTACAACTAATGCGTTATTCTCCAGATTATATTTGGTTCTTGGAACAGTCTCTTCATTATGACTATACCATGACATTTTTGCAATTGCATGCATGAATTGCATTTTAATGCACTGAAATATTAATAGATCAAGCATATAGCATTTAGTCATTGACATATTCTCACCTACAGTGAGTTAAATCCCAGCCAGAGCTTTAGAAACGATGTGAAGAAGGGCCTGAAATGTGTTTCCACTTCTATGGAGATCTGCAGGACATTACAGGGCAGTTTAACAAGACGTGAATGAGGTGTAGAGTCCCAGAACTGAGATCATGAAGGTCAGGACCCCCTCAACACCTGAAGCCCTCGAGGAGATCCGGGAGCTGGTGGAAAAAACCTGGAAATGTGAGACTGAGAGTTTCATGCCAAATGAGTCGTTTGTTGCAAATAGACACCACTTAAACCCAAACGATTTTTTTATTTTGAATAAGAGATTTGTCAGTAATTCATCTAGGATACTCTTCTAGGTTGCTGCATGTGTTCATGCATATAGTCATGATAGATTAGCAGCACAATCATCGTTTATGCAAATTAATGAAACAAAGGTTACAACACAAACACACGAGAGAGAAAATAATGATGTAATGCCTCACACTCATGTTTAACTATAATACCCGTATAGTAATGTGACCTGCACTGCAATAGACACGCGTGTGTTTAATTGGGGATGAAACAATGTGTTCATTCTTATCGGTTTCATTAAAAATGACTCGCGATTAATCGCATCCAAAATAAAAGTTTGTGACTACATAATACATGTGTGTGAACTTTGTATAATTATTTTTAGGCTGTGCAAAAATGAATTGCGATTTACATAATATATTTGTGTGTGCTTATTATTTTGCAAATATAAATACACACACATGCATGTATATATTTAAGAAAATGTGTTATTCATATATAAAATATTTATATAATATAGATTATGTATACATATATACAGAATTTAAGCGCAAATAATTCTTAAATACATACATGCATGCATAGGTGTTTAAATATACAAAATAATTATACACAGCACACACAAATATATTATGTAAACACAGACTTTTATTTTGGATGCGATTAATCGCAATTAATTTTTGCACAGCCCTAATTATTTTGTATATATATATATATATATATATATATATATATATATATATATACACACACACATACATGTATATACAGTATTTAAGACATATTTGTTATTTATAAATAAAATATTTATATATAATACGAATTATATATATATATATAGGGCTGTGAAACGATTAATCTTGATTAATCACATCCAAAATAAATAAAAGTTTGTGTTTCCATTATATATGTGTGTGTAGTTTGTATAATTATTTTGTATATTAAAATACACACACATGCATGTATATATTTAAGAAAATGTGTTATTAAAAAATATGTATATTCATGTATAATATAAATTTTGTATATATATATATATATATATATATAGTATATACATGCAAATATTTCTTAAATACTGTATATACATGCATGTGTGTGTATTTATAATTATACACAGTACACATACATATATTATGTACACACAAACTTTTATTTTGGATGCAGCCCTAGTTCACTCACACTCATGCATTTGAGGTTATGAAGCATCTTTTCAGCTCTGAGTGAGAAGACGAACTCGGTCAAATAAATAAAAGCTACCACACACACACACCACATGTCCATGGCAAACAGCAGCGGCACAGATCACATTCTCGGTCTCGTCTCAAAATAGCAAAAGGTCTTGTAAACAAGCATCACATTCACGACTAATCAGCAACAACACATTCTCAATCTACCAACTTGTGCTAATTGATTAGTAATAGTTACTCTTCTCGGATGAAAGATTATAGATGCGTTCTTAAAGGAACAGCGCATCCACGTATGAAACAGTCGGCCATCGTTAACTCGACCTCATGTGTGTGATTTTATTTCCTTAATGGAAGACAAAATGTGATTTTTTCTTACTTTTGCAGAAACAACAGTGGTGACTGACTGATGATGTCAAGCTCAAGCAAGTGTTACAGAAGCTGTTTATATGAGCAAAACGATTGGTTAAGATGTGTCATCATTGAATATATGCACAAAAAAAGGAGATTAGAACTTCTTTAATGTCGCACAAAGCCATCGCATGACTTCAGAAGAATGAGATTATACCTTTTTATACATTAATGGCAGACTGGTGCACATTTACATTCATTGTATGAACAAAGCAGGATGTCACTTCTGGTTTTGTGTTTGTGAAGTGAAGGCGGGTAACGGCGCGCTTTTGGTGTTTCCCATTCCTAAGGGCCGGTTCACATATCGCGTCTTTTGCGCGCTCAAATTCGTTATTTCAAATGTAGGCGCGCGGTATGCGCGCTCATAATGGAAGCGGTGCGGTCGCGGTGCGACGCGCTCCTTTTTTCCATGCGCGTCCGCGCCGCGTCGAGATAAAAACATCTCAACTTTTCAGAATACCGCAAGCGCACCGTACGCACACAATAGGTCATGTGACAAGAACCAACTGAAGCGCAACCGCCCTGGCGCTTTGCAAAATAGAGAATGCGGCGCCCCAGCGTTTTCTACGCGTTTTTAGGCGCTATATGTGAATCCGGCCTTACGATGTTTTAAGACGTGCATGCTGTTTCATTCATGCAGGATTGAGTATGATATGTGCATTCACTGTAGGGCTGTGCAACGACGATTAATCACATCCAAAAATAATATATGTGTGTGTACTGTGGATAATTAATTTGTATAAAAAAATGCACACACATGCATGCATACACTTAAGAAATATTTGCATTTATGTTATATATATATATATATATATATATATATATATTAGGGCTGTGCAAAAATTAATTGCGATTAATCGCATCCAAAATAAAAGTCTGTCTTTACATAATATATTTGTGTGCTGTATATAATTATTTTGTATATATAAATACACACACATGCATGTATATATTTAAGAAAATGTGTTATTCATATATAAAATATTTATATTTATATAATATAGATTATGTATTTATACATACAGAATTTAAGCGCAAATAATTCTTAAATATATACATGCAGGCATAGGTATTTATATATACAAAATAATTATATACAGGACACGCAAATATATTATGTAAACACAGACTTTTATTATGGATGGGATTAACCGCAATTAATTTTTGCACAGCCCTAATATATAAATATATAACAAAAATGCAAATATTTATTAAGTGTATGCATGCATGTGTGTATATATATATATATACTTTTAAATATATGCATGCATTTGTGTGTGTATATATATATATACAGTATATATATATATAAATAAATACACACACATGCATGCACATATTTAAAAATATATAATCACTCAATCATGACATTTTGAATGCAAATATGACATTGTTTGAGAACTTGACATTACCAAGACAACATAAATTGTCATAAATATATCATAAAAATGACATAGCAGATTCATTATCAAACTTAAGAAACCACTTAGCCTTATGGGTTTACATTACATTAAACTGTCAGGTGGTTGGCTAATTAATCTGCTATGCCATGTTTGATATATTTATGAAAGCTTGTGTTCTCTTAATAATGTCAAGTTGTTATGACAAAGACATCTTAAACAATGTCATATTTGCATTCAAAATTCAATTGAGCGAATGACACTTAACGACAGTCATAAACATGCATAAACCCTACTTCATATTCAAGACACATGTCATGTCATGGTTATGAAGGTGTCTTTTATTTTGGCGATTAATCGAGTTCACATGCTAATAGAGTTCATGACGGCACCTTAGCGCGTGGCGAGTCTCTGTATTAGCGAAAACCATTCTGTCCGTTTGCGTGTGATGTACGTGGGTGTTATGATCTGAGCGGACAGGAGCGGACAGCCTTCGACTCTCAAGCTCTCACACAGAGCCTCGGCGTTACAGATCACGTACATGCCGCAGTCAAAGCTGTTCTGCTGCGAGGGGCTTTGCTCTTCGACAAAAGGCACTTTCTCTCCTAGGAAAGCTTCCAGTTTTGCTGCGATACGTCGCGCGTGCAACGAGTTCCCTCCTTTTTGAGAGTCGAAGTGTGTGAACTGACTGGCGTCTCGTTGATAGAGAAGCAAACTCCAGTGGGAGCCGCCGGCCGCTTGATTGGCGTTGTCGTTGACCGGCAGAAACACCCACTGTCGCGTCGCGAGACTCAGCGGCTCCAGAAACACGGCGAGCTCCTCTTGACTCGAAGCGTACTTGATGAACTGGGCCACTTCCGGGCTGATGAAACACACCTTCTCGCTCAGACTTTTAAAGCGCTCTGCTGCGAAGTACTCGAAGGCGAAACCGATGACCTGGTCGTTGAGCCAGTGCGGTCCGTTTAACAGCGCCACATCCGAGCGCCGAAGAAGACTGTCCTGGAAGCTCAACACCACTGGATCCATCCTCAACGCAACACGGGTCACTGTGGATTTAGAGATTTTACTGATTTTAAACGGGTCATTGGATGCCCATTTTTGGGTTTTCATGCAAAGTTTGTGACATACTTAATGTTAAAATTCTTCAATGGTTGTGTAAAACGACACCCTTTTTACCAAATCGAAAACAGCTCTGTTCACAGCGACCCGTTTCGGTGCATGTCTCTTTAAATGATAATGAGCAACTGCTCTTGATGTCATTATGACATCATATTGCTCAGAAAATCCAGAGTGTTTAGACTTTTTGAGGATTGCACACACTGCAAAGACACGCTTATATGCAAACACCGTATAAAAGTGAATTTAATATTAATATTACATATTAAACGGGTCATTGGATAGGGCTGTCAAACGATTAATCACATCCAAAATAAAAGTTTGTTTACATAATATATGTGGGTGCATTGTGTATAATTATTTTATATATATAAATACACACATGATTGTATATATTTAATAAATATTTTAATGTATATACTGTATATATATATATAATTTATATTATATATAAATATTTTATATATAAATGATATTTTTTTCTTAAATATAAGAATGCATGTGTGTGTATTTATATATATATATATATAAAATAATTATACACAGTGCACCCACATATATTGTGTAAACACAAACTTTTATTTTGGATGTGATTAATCGCTTGACAGCCCTATCCAATGACCCGTTTAATATGTAATATAATATTAAATTCACTTTTATATGGTGTTTGCATATAAATGTGTCTTTGCAGTGTCTAAACACTCTCAATAATCAAGTCGTTACTTGTTAATTACTTAAAATACAAGGATTCAGATGACAAGGACCAGACTAGAGTAGACTAACTTTTAAAAAAATAGACTTTTTAAACTGTTATTTATTGTAAACGTGCTCGCCAACTTTACTAGCACTGCACTGCGCAATGATACAGACCAAACAAACACGATCACATTTCAAAGCCCTCTGTATTCTTCATCAGTTAAAAAAATCACATCGACAAAATATTGTTTGTTACCTTGCAAAAGACACAGTCCCCAAAGTAAGCCTTCATTACGTCCACCTTCCTCTGCTACCGTCTGCTACAAGCGCAGTGAGGGCAGATGCCGTAAACCGCTACTGTTGTACATAGATTGATATCTCGTCACACTGCTGGCCAATAGAGGTCGACGTCTGCACCTGGCGGCCATCTTGTCACAGGCAGCTCGCTCACTCGTAACATTGTGTTAATGGTACATGTACTATTTAAATAACCATAACTTACTCATTTTTCTACCGATTTTCAAACGGTTTGGTTTGTTATAAACGTCGGAGATGTAGTTATGAGACAGCATACTTATGAATAATAAGTGTATAAATAAATAATCATCCAGATAATTATAGCCGCGTTAATAACGTTTGTAAGAAACCAAACCGTTTGTAAATCCGTCAAGATTTCAACGAGATAAGAGTATTTGTGTTCGTGTTGACCCCTCATCTTGCATCATCTTGCCTGTGACAAGATGGCCGCCGGTGATGACGATAGAAACTCCGCTTTAAGACAGATATCTATGCTGTTGTAACAGTAACAGAAAGTGTCGCGCTTCAAAACTTTTTGCGACAGTGTTGAGGGGCAGGGCACGTACACGCCTTTTTCCAAAGCTAGGCGGTGATTGGCTTACCGTAGCGTGACGAAACTGCCTCTCTGAAAGCCAGCCGCCGCCCCATCGCCGCAACTGACTCCGCCCACTCCGCAGCGAGTACGCGCAGCGCGCGTCTGGACGCTGATGAGAAGCAGCACTGATTAAGCAGAAAAAAAAAACAGAAAGGAGTTTCAGCGAGCGACTCCCACGAGAAAAGAAACGCCGCACTGTTCGGAAATTTCAATGGAAAGAGGATTGTAGTCATTTTTTTAATCAAAATGGCAGAGTGGGACGTGTGTTCGGACACGGGAAAGTTGCAACGGATAATTTGAGAGAGACAATTCTGGGATATTAGTGGACTCGAGCTGCGCCGGATTTGATCCGTCCTTAAAGGCGCAGCAAACACTGGATTTTTTCTTTCTTTCACTGAACTCAGAGAGGTGAGATTTGATGTGTTGAAATTATTTTCACTCATGCTTTAAGTGAATAACACAAACTAACTTGTGCTGACTGACTCGAAGTTTCCCTGCATCTCCTGCTTTATGTTTATGGTGACTGCGCGCGCCAACTCGTGGCACACGAGACGTGCAAAACAATATTGTGATTTTTCTTTTGATTCAGTGTCAACAGACATTAGCATAACTAGTGAACTAGGTTTAAATGTGTTAGGATAACTTTAAGCTGGCATTTATGTGCGGCTGAATAAACAAGGTGTGACAGATGTCATGGGTGGAGATGATGATGATGATGAGGAGGATGATGATGATGCATGTATTATTGAGGACTCACTTCAGTGCCAGTACTGCAGTAATCATGGACCAAATCTGCACAGTCATCCGGTCCTAGTCACAATGTTTCATCTCTCTCTCTCTCTCTCTCTCTCTCTCTCTCTCTCTCTCTCTCTCTCTCTCTCTCTCTCTCTCTCTCTCTCTCTCTCTCTCTCTCTCTCTCTCTCTCTCTCTCGTTCGTTCTTTAAGTGCGCGGCCACTTTTTAAGTCAAGAGTTGAAGGTGTGTGAATGTCATTGCATTTAAATGGCAAACATCAAACCAAGTGGCATCTCTACATATTTTCTCAGAACTAACTTCACTTTTCTGAACCATTTCGCGTGACTTTTAGCCTGGAAGTGTCATCACAGGTGTAGTTCATCACATTAACTATCATTCCAAATACATTTTACCGTCACAAAGTGTCCAGATCAAATCGTTTTTAAACTTCCCATGAAATATATATATTTTTCTTCTATTATAAAAGCGATTTTGTCTTTTAGTATGATTAATATGTTAGTCTTACTGTTATCCATAAGCGAGTGTGCTCCAAAACAATAACAAAATTCACATTTAGAATATATATAAGCGTTAGTCTCACTTTCTCCGATATAGATCAATGAATTTGATGACATCACTCTGCACTTCAACTTCTCATCAGATTTTCTGACCAATCAAACGCTCTCTAGAATCTAGAATCCCCGCCCCCTACATTACGAACAGTAGATGCGGCTGAAATGGTCACTTGTTCACACAATTGCTGTTTACTACACGGTAAATGACACATAGTGCACTATATAGGGGATAGTGGACGATTCAGAGAATGTAAATATGCTTTCCATTGGGATATGGAGGAGATTAGGAGATTGGGGCAACTTTATCAAGTTCAACGGCTCTGTGATGTAAACTAAACGCTATTGGCTATTGTTTTAAAAAGGGAGGAGCTGATATATATATATATATGCCCCGCCCCTTCCGGTTTCAACACATTTAGTGGGTGTTTAAACAACAAAATATCTGTTGTTCATCAACTGAAACCTAACAAACACTTGTGTTATGCATGCTGTGATAAGAATAAATACCACTTGGTGTTGACTTTGTTTTTTTTAATGCAGCTCATGCGTTTAGTGTTCATTAAAATCAGTTCCTGAGGAAAGTGTGCTGTTGTTTCCCGGCACAGGTGATGTGAGGAATGTGAAGGGTTTGTCTCAGCTGTTAGAGATTGTGCCAAGACATGACTTAACTCCGACAACTGGCCTTGTATACGACACCCCAGATACTAACTAACTAGTGTGGTCTGCATGCTCCTGAACCAGATTCATAAGTTAACACTGTTACTGTTAGGAAAGCTCTGTGCCGGTGGTGAAATCACAGTCCTGAGTTATTGTTAAATGTCTTTGTAGAGAGGCTTTCAGTTTGAAACCAAATCACATCTCAGGTTTAAATATCCTTGTTAAATATTAACGCAGAGCAGAAATAGAAGTTGCATCATAGAGCCTGGAGGGAAAGGTAAAGCCGGATGAGAATCTCAAACACGCACTTTAGTGGCACCACTTGTTTTTTTCCGGTTGAGTTTTTCTGGATTCTGTTTATTTTTCTGTTTTAGTTTTTCCGGATTCTGTTTATTTTTCTGTTTTCGTTTTTCAGGATTCTGTTTATTTTTCCAGTTTTGTTTTTCCGGATTCTGTTTATTTTTCCCGTTTAATTTTTCTGGATTCTGTTTATTTTTCCGGTTTCGTTTTTTCTGGATTCTGTTTATTTTTCCGTTTTAATTTTTCAGGATTCTGTTTATTTTTCCGGTTTCATTTTTCAGTATTCTGTTTATTTTTCTGTTTTAGTTTTCCGGATTCTGTTTCTTTTTTCTGGTTTCGTTTTTCTGGATTCTGTTTATTTTTCTGTTTAGTTTTTCTGATTCTGTTTACTTTTCCGGTTTCGTTTTTCCAGGTTTCTGTTTATTTTTCCCGTTTCATTTTTCCGGATTCTGTTTATTTTTCCGGTTTCGTTTTTCAGTATTCTGTTTATTTTTCTGTTTTAGTTTTTCAGGATTCTGTTTATTTTTCCGGTTTTAGTTTTTCCAGATTTTGTTTATTTTTGCAGTTTCGTTTTTCTGGATTCTGTTTACTTTTCGGTTTCATTTTTACGGATTCTGTTTACTTTTCCGGTTTCATTTTTCTGGATTCTGTTTATTTTTTCGGTTTCATTTTTCAGGATTCTGTTTATTTTTCTGTTTTAGTTTTCCGGATTCTGTTTCTTTTTTCTGGTTTCGTTTTTCTGGATTCTGTTTATTTTTCTGTTTAGTTTTTCTGATTCTGTTTACTTTTCCGGTTTCGTTTCTCCAGGTTTCTGTTTATTTTTCCCGTTTCATTTTTCCGGATTCTGTTTATTTTTCCGGTTTCGTTTTTCAGTATTCTGTTTATTTTTCTGTTTTAGTTTTTCAGGATTCTGTTTATTTTTCCGGTTTTAGTTTTTCCAGATTTTGTTTATTTTTGCAGTTTCGTTTTTCTGGATTCTGTTTACTTTTCGGTTTCATTTTTACGGATTCTGTTTACTTTTCCGGTTTCATTTTTCTGGATTCTGTTTATTTTTTCGGTTTCATTTTTCAGGATTCTGTTTATTTTTTCGGTGTCATTTTTCAGGATTCTGTTTATTTTTCCGTTTGAGTTTTTCTGGATTCTGTTTATTTTTCCAGTTACAAGGTTTAACAACAATTTACTAAGTTTAACTAACTCCATGAAATGTTTTATTCCTTTTTATGTTGTAATAAAATTAGAATAATCATTTAAAGAATTCTTTAACAAACAAACTTTAACAATTTATTCATTTATCACAAAGTTTACAATAATAGGGCCTGATTTATTATCAAAAATGTCGGTAATCAAATGAAGACAAAACATTACAATTTAATCAATATCTTACATGTAATCAAAGTAAAAGGTAACAATTTATTTGATCTTTTAACAAAGTACTGCAAGGCAAAGGTTAGCTGTTCAAAAGAAAAATCATATTCATAAAAAAAATCATGTTTTAAACATTTTATTATTATTACTACGTTGAGAAGTACAGCCTGATAGTAATATATGTCTGTCTACATTTCTCCAAGAATTTAGACCTTGGTGTTCATAGACCATGAACACCTTTGAGTTTATTTATTTTTATATAATATGATGACAATTTTTATTAAATTAAATGTAGAGGTTTATGTCCTCATATAGTGAGATGGCAGAGGCTGAAAACGTGAGTTTACGTGGACAACTGCACATTCACACAAAGACGAGCAAAACACACAGACTTCAGATTTAAACAGCAATATTGAGTGGATATCACAATGTTTTGGCCTCAGTTTGATATTATTTTGGTTTCAGTTTAATAAATATTCTTCCAAAATTTGCCACATTTTTAGTAAATTCCTGTAATATCCTGTTTTTATGACGTGATTCCAATCCGCCCACGTTTTCCGCATGCCGGAAATCATTGGGTACTGTACTGTAGTGTATGACTCTATATGATGAATCTAGCTTGTTGGAGAAATCTGAAGCACTTTTGGACCACAACAATAAGAGGAAACTGCCATAGGAAGTAGTGAAACTCTCGGTTGCCTGGATTTGACTTTGAAGGGATGCGGTAATCCATACTTCAGGCCCTGATTGACACTGAGTTCAACCTTAAAAGTCCCTAAGAACTTATTGGAGAGAACTTAAAAAAATAAAAATAAAAAACACATAAAAATAAGCATAATTTA